CTGCAAAGCAACTGACTCTTGAGTGCAGCAAGAGAAACAAAGTGTTTCTCTTAATGAATTGCCGTCATATAGTTAAGCGCCTAGAGGACATAATGAGAGAGATCAGTCGGGCTTTAAGTCTTCTTCCCCTGAGTTCTCTAGATCTTTCATCTGGCATAATTGAAGAAATTGAAAAGCTTTGTGACAATATGCAGAGGGCTGAGTTCAGGGCAGCAATAGCAGAAGAAGAGATTTTGGACAAAATTGAGTCTGGAATCCAGGAGAGAAATATGGATCGTTCTTATGCCAATAATTTGCTGGTTCTCATTGCAGAGGCAGTTGGAATCTCAACTGAGAGGTCAGTGTTAAAGAAGGAATTAGAGGAATTCAGGAGCGAGATAGAAAATGCCCGGCTGAGGAAAGACCAGGCTGAAGCTATACAGATGGAACAGATAATTGCTTTATTAGAAAGGGCTGATGCAGCTTCATCTCCTAGGGAGAAAGAAATGAAGTATATCATTAAGCGGAAATCTTTGGGTGGTCAACCATTGGAACCGCTTCAATCATTTATTTGCCCAATCACCAGGGAAGTTATGGTGGACCCTGTGGAAACTTCTTCCGGACAGACATTTGAGAGAAGTGCTATAGAAAAGTGGTTTGCTGATGGGAACAGATCGTGCCCCCTGACAATGACTTCTTTAGACACATCAATTTTACGGCCCAATAAAACTCTGCGGCAATCAATAGAAGAATGGAAGGATAGGAATACCATGATTATGATTGCTTCCTTGAAATCAAAACTCCAGTCTGAAGAAGACGAAGAAGTGCTTCATTGCCTCGGTGAACTACTAGATCTCTGTAAAGAAAGAGATCTGCACAAGGAATGGGTCATACTGGAGAACTACATACCTATTCTCATTCAACTTCTTGGTGTTAAAAATCCTGAGATAAGGAACCATGCTCTTGTCAACCTGTGCATTTTGGTGAAGGATAGTGATGATGCAAAGGTAATACTTTGCTTACCTTAACTGCATCGTGTACTCTCTCTCTCTCTCTCTCTCTCCCTCTGTGTTTTTATATATAATGCCTAGCAACAGATGCACAAGGCTGTAAAATGCCCCTTGTGCGGTAATATTCTTTTAATGAACAATGATGTTCTTCATTTGCCTACACAAAAAGAAAGAAGAAAAACATGTGCTTATTGTTTGTAGTAATAAATACATTTTATTTTTCTACGTTATCTTTTCTTAATTCCCTCATGTATGGCTATAACCTTATAGTTAATGTTGCAGGAAAGAATTAACAAAGCTGATAATGGCATTGAATCTATTGTTCGTTCACTTGGCCGCCGTGTTGAGGAAAGGAAGTTAGCAGTGGCGTTACTTTTGGAATTATCCAAAAGCAATCTGATAAGAGAGCAAATAGGGAAGGTTCAAGGTTCCATACTCCTATTAGTTACCATGTCCAACAGTGATGATAATCGGGCTGCCAGAGACGCACGAGAGCTATTGGAGAATCTATCATTCTCTGATCAGAACGTTATACAGATGGCAAAGGCAAATTATTTTACACATTTGCTGCAGCGTCTCTCTGCAGGTTCTCTTATCCTCTTTCATAATAATTTCTTATAAATGGCTTGTACGGGATCTTTCTTCTTTTTTTAGGTTGTATAATAAAAAGCCCCTCATGCAGATTGTAAAATAGATCTTTCTAAAATAATGTTGCAACCTTTACTAAAATAACCCTACAAGATCTGGGTTCAAATTCATTGTTGCAACCTTTAGTATGATATGTAATGGTTCCTTCTGAATTTTAGCATTGTATGTAGTAAAAAAGGTTAGCAATCTTAGTTTTATCACTACAATATGTTCATCAGTGATCCAAGTTTACACTTGATTCAATAGAATTCCAATAGTTTACATGTTTGCTTCCTTGAATATGATTATGTTAAATTTAATTGGTATGTTAAGAGATCTTTTGGTGTGGTTTATGAAAGCTTAAATGTATTTTATGTTTATATTTATCGAAAAATTTAGCCTTAGGTATGGCAATGTGATTTTCAGTTTGTATGTTTGCTGCAGTTTATGTATCAACAGTTCATTTTATGAGTAATGAAGGTTTGTTGCTATAAATTGTCAATTTTTTATATTCAGGACCAGAAGATGTGAAAATGGCCATGGCATCAAATTTGGCAGAGATGGAGTTGACTGACCACAATAAAGAATCTTTGATAGAAGGAGGAGTACTGAGTCCACTTCTGTATTTGGTCTCACATGGTGACATTCCAATTAAAACTGTGGCTGTCAAAGCTCTTAGAAACCTCTCAAGCTTACCTAAAAATGGTCTGCAGATGATTCGAGAAGGTGCAGAGCGCCCATTACTTGACCTTCTTTTCAATCTTAGCTCGTCATTGTCAAGTTTGCGTGAATATTTAGCAGCCACAATTATGCATCTCGCCATGTCAGTGTCTCTAGAATCCAGCCAGACACCCGTTTCATTTTTGGAATCGGATGAAGATATTTTAAAGCTTTTCTCTTTGATTAACTTGATGGGGCCTAATGTACAGAAAAGCATTATTCGCACCTTCCACACCTTGTGTCAATCCCCTTCTGCTATAAGTATCAAGACCAAGTTGATACAGGTGTGTGTTTTATTCTAGAAGACATTTTTATTTCAATAAAAATTGGTTTCCTGTCTACATAAGTCTACTAGTAGAATGTTAATGGGATCTCAAAGTTTGAATGGAGTGAGAATATCCAAGGGTGGCTAGTCTCATAATAAATTGGGAGGTAGTGCAAAGTCCTGCAAGCTGAAGCTTCACTTAATGTTATTTCTTAACAGAAAAGACCTGGAAGGGATATCAAACTGAAATAACATTAAGTGAAGCTTCAACTTGCAGGCCTTTTTCTGTTAAGAAACTGCATTCGGATTCATGTTTTGCAATTAGTAGCCAACATCAATCAACTTTCCTAAATCACACTCGTGAAAACTTTAACAACTAGGATAGTGTTTGCCCAATTTGGATTAATGATGCACATTTGAAATTCCCATAATAATGAAAAAGAAACTCATTGAAGGTTTATTAAGAGAAGGTCGTGTTAATAACATTTTATGACATCTTTTTTAGTTCTTGTCTCCTCCTTATGGGTTTACCCCATGTTGAGGTTGATTATTTTCAACCCTTACGCTGATACACTATGAAGTTAGAAAATGTAAACTCAGGTGCAGCCTATTGAATTTTAGAGTTTAAATTCCTAGTTCCATTTTTACAATTATCTCATTACTTGGAATAATAACATCTTTACCAGACGCTAACTTGATTTACTTAGCTTCTGGTAGATAAGCTTTAACTGATTTGGTTACTTTTACAGTCCTCCGCAATACAAGTATTGGTTCAGTTGTGTGAGAATGATGACCTAAACCTACGAGCAAATGCTGTAAAGCTGTTCTCTTGCTTAGTAGAAGGTGGCAGTGAATCCACCACCATCCTGGAGCATGTGAATCAGAAGTGCATTGAGACTATACTCAAGATCATCAAAGCTTCTGACGATGAAGAAGAGATTGCTTCTGCAATGGGCATTATCTCTAACCTTCCAGAAATCCCTGTGATCACACAGTGGCTTGTGGATGCTGGGACACTCCCTGCCGTATTCAGTTTTCTCCAGAATGGCAAGCAGAATGGTCCCCATAAGAATCAGTTGATAGAGAATGCCGTTGGAGCCATTTGTCGTTTCACTGTTTCAACAAACTTGGAATGGCAAAAGAGTGCAGCTGAAGCTGGCATTATACCCTTGTTCGTACAGTTGCTGGAGTCTGGAACCTCCTTGACAAAAAAACGCGCAGCCATATCTCTCTCTCGATTTTCAGAGAGTTCACCACAGTTGAGCAGGTCTCTACCTAACCGCAAAGGATTCTGCTGCTTCTCGGCCCCGCCAGAAACTGGATGCCCTGTTCATGGAGGAATATGTGGCATTGTTTCATCATTTTGCCTGGTGGAGGCTGATGCAGTGGGACCACTAGTTAGGATTCTGGGAGAACCTGATCCTGGAGCGTGTGAAGCTTCTTTAGATGCACTATTAACTTTAATTGAAGGTGAGAGACTGCACACCGGTAGCAAGGTGCTTACAGACGCAAATGCCATCCCACCTATAATAAAATTTCTTGTTCAACCCTACCCTAGTTTGCAGGAGAAGGCTCTACATGCTCTAGAAAGAATGTTCCGGCTGCTGGAGTTTAAACAGAAGTTTGGATCGTTAGCTCAGATGCCTTTAGTTGACTTAACTCAGCGTGGAAGTGGTAGTGTGAAATCTATGGCAGCTAGAATACTTGCTCACTTGAATGTGCTTCATGATCAGTCTTCCTATTTCTGAAGGAACTTCATGGTTACAGCTACATATGTCAATGATTTAGAGATCAAGCATAAATTCACTTTTATGCTTTAAACTTCAGAACGATCACTAAAAGTTACCGGAGGACTTGCCATGCAAAGCTATAGACATGGGAGCCCGTCGTATTTTTATAAGCATGCTCTCTGGTCAGTACGTCATTATCTGGTTTCAGTAACGTGTGATTGGACGGACGCAATTTCATTTTTCGAGTGGCAGCGTCAAGATCCAAATGAGAATTTAAATTCTGCTGCTGTTGGACCAGGGGGAAGTTTGTTTGCGGCTCATACATGTGGTGCCGTAGGAAGTTGGTTTGTCTCTGTATTTGAAGCTTGATTTGTGTATAATGGTGTAAGGAGAAGATAAATCAGTGTAAGCCATCACTGGTGGACTGGTAAAGGAAGCTGAGGTCATTTTTTCAACCACGATTAAATTCTTTTCTAATATAGGATCTGGATTCTTTCTTGTGTATACATAGGAAAAGAAGTTCAAAAATTCAAAATAAATTTTCAGGTTAATTTGTGTCCTTTAGAATAAGTTATGCTGTCTATGCAGTATATGCTGAATGTTTCATTGAAGCAGCTGCTGAAAAACATATCTGTCATTTAGACTTGGAAGATGTTTGAATCAATTGCCTTTAACAACCCAGAGATTAAATATTTTTCATTTCTATTTTAATTAATGAACAAATGTGTTTAATGCCTTTACTTTCACACAAAAAACAAAACAAATTGAAAGTGAAAGTGAACAGATAAAAAAAGTTATCAGAAAATTCTAATTAACTACATGGTTTCTTTACTCTGTCACATCCAGAATGAATCTGCTTTCCTACTGATCATAATAACCTGAGATTTTATCATGCTGTTTTCTCCTTCTTTGCTCTCCAACTTCTCCTCCTTCCTACTAATTTAAGAACCTCGTCAATAAGTATCACCGGCACCGAGATCAAAATTACCAGGAGCCATTCATTCAGACTCAATGGAACAACGCCAAACACGTCTGCTAAAAAGGGAATGTAGAGAATGAGGCAATGAAGTCCAAATGAGACTGACATGGCAACCAAGAGCCAAGGGTTCCTCCAAGGTGGCATTTTGACCAAGCTAATATCTTCAGAAAGAGCATTGAGGGAATTGAACATCTCAATGGCCACCAAGACAGAGAGTGACAAAGTCATTGCCTTCACTTTACCAACAGAGAAATAGTCACAAGGGTCAGAGAAACTGATAGTCCGACCTCCGCTAACTGTGAACGGAGCCACGGTAAAATTCGACCATGACGGACACTCTCCCCAATTTCGAAGCTGAGATAGTTCAACAAGTGTATGTCCATCACTCACAAGATTGATGCCCATAAAGGAAGCCTGAGTATACCACAAGATGAAAATGCCAACAGTTGCAATGCCCACATAAGAACCAATAACCTGCAGTCGTGAACATGTAAAGTTTATGACTTTTGCATGGCATGCTGAAGCTCAATTAAAAGTACATACTAACCAGGTAACGGAAAAGAACCCAAGGACTCATAAGAGCATCGTCACTTTTGCGGGGCGGTTTCTTCATAATATGCATGTCAGCTGGGTTAAATCCAAGAGCTGTTGCAGGTGGTCCGTCGGTGACCAGATTTACCCACAGAAGCTGCACAGGTATCATACATTCGGGTATTCCCAATGCCGCGGTCAAGAATATGGATATTACCTCTCCAACATTTGAAGAAATCATGTACCTGCAGAATGAGAGATTGAAAAGTTCTTACTCAAAGGAAGAAAAGGGTAAGAGAGGGAGGGAACATATTATGCTTATGATGATGAACAAAGAGAGAGATATGCCTGATAAAAGCTTTCATGTTAGTGTAAATGGCACGGCCTTCGGCAACAGCTGAAACAATAGTACTGAAATTATCATCTGCCAAAATCATATCTGAAGCTTCTTTTGCAACCTGGGATATAAAACATGAAGGGTTAGAAGTCACATTGCAAGGCTCCAAGTTAATGATAACTGTAAGTGGCAGAGGGCATCATCCTATGTTCCAAGAGAGTGTGAATGCCACCTCAGTTCCTGTGATGCCCATGGCAATCCCAATGTCAGCAAGTTTAAGTGCTGGTGCATCGTTCACTCCATCTCCAGTCATTGCAACAATCTCCCCTATCTCTTTCAGCATCCTTACTATCTCTTGCTTATGCCTAGGCTCCGCACGAGAGAAAACCTTCCCTCCTGGTTTTGCTAAAAATTCCATTTGTTGTGGCTGGGGTAGAAACATGAACTCTTTTCCAGTAAAACTTCTCCCTTTCAGATCCTCTTCTTTAGAGAACAACTTGATTTCTTGACAGATAGCCTCAGCTGTGGACTTGTTATCTCCAGTTATTACCATAACTCTAATTCCAGCTTCTCTGCAATCTTCAATTGCTTTTCCAACTTCATCACGAGGAGGGTCCTGTGCAAAATAGTTATTAAATGAAATATTTGAAATTTTGAACCTTGAAAATCATCAAGTAGCAAAACATTTGCGGCATATACATACTCTTAACCCAACAATGCCTACAAAAACTAAGTCACTTTCAATGGAGGAGTAGCAGGCTGGATCAAGCAACTTCTTGTGAGCAGGATGGCTTTCAGAATGATAATCTGAAAACTCTCCCAACTCCTCCTTATATGCAAAACCCAAGCACCGCAATCCCTTTGAGCTCATGTCCAAGAGTCTCAAGAGCAATGATTGTTTACAAGGTTCGTCTATTGGAACAAGGGATCCATCAGCAAGTTGTACATGCAAAGTGCGCTCCAGTAAACTCTCAACAGCACCCTGCAAATTGCAACCGTTAAATTATACAAGCACCAGACAGTGCATCAAGCATAAAAACATGCTGTAACAGCAAACTCAAACCCAGTCGTAGACAGCAATGAGACAAAAAATGAGTCACCTTGACAAGAAGTCGGTTACGCCCAGTTGGCTCCCGGACAATAACACTCATAGACTTTCGAACACGATCAAATTCTAGTGTGGCAACCCTTTTCGATCTTTTTGTCCACCACTCACAACAGCCTGTACTTGAAAAATTGACCATTAGAAAGCTTCCCCATTGTCAACAGCTTAGATCATATGAAAAAAGAATAGTTTTTGGCTAACCTAATTTCACTGTTGTGGTGTCAATTAAGTAGCTTGCAGCAAGCTGTGTGTCACGAATTTTGTTTCTCGCCTTGATGTCTGGAACTCCCATCTTTTCAACCAAAACCTTAAGAGCTGCCTCAGTTGGCAAACCTGTAGCCCTGAAGAGCTGGCCATCAAAATAAATCCCAGCATCATTGCAAATAGCACAGATTTCTGCAATGGCTTGCATGTTAGCATCCATATTATAGCAAGTCCAATCAACAATTCCCCCATCCTTGGGATCATAAGTTGTGCCTTCAACACGAATTGTTCGAGAAGCTGTGGTTTTTCCACCCAAAGTGAAGAATTCTGTCACAGACATCTGGTTTGTTGTCAAAGTCCCAGTTTTGTCTGAACAAATCACAGTTGTGCATCCTAAGGTTTCTACACTTGGAAGCTTCCTCACAATTGCATTCTTTTGTGCCATTTTCCTTGTACCAAGAGCTAAGCAAGTTGTAATAACAGCAGGAAGACCTTCTGGGATTGCAGCCACGGCAAGTGCAACAGCTATCTTAAAATAGTATGTGCATCTCTCAAACGAAAACCTAACATTCGTTGGCCATCCATCAACAAGATCCCAAGAGAGGAAATTTTTGTAGTTCATAACCCAAACAATAAGGCAAACAAACCCAATAGCAGTAGTGAACCTGCTGCCAAATTCATCCAGCTTCTTCTTCAAAGGGGTGTCATCTTCTTCCAAAGAAGCCTCATGTATTTGCTTTTGTATTTTGCCAATCTCAGTGTTCATCCCAGTGCTGACAACAACACAAAGACAGCTACCATTGACAACAGTTGTGCCTGAGAAAACCATATTCTCTTTCGCCTGCAAGTCACAATCATCCATAAATATAGGACCAGTGCTTTTCAGAACAGGCATTGCCTCACCAGTCAATGAGCTCTGCTCCACTCGCAAAGTTGAAGTCTTTAAAACTGCAACTCTCATGTCAGCCGGGACTTTGTCTCCCACTCGCAATTCGACGATATCACCAGGAACAAGTTCTCTTGCAGGCAAATCTGGCACCAGATAGCCATCTCTTAAAACCTTTCCAGATTCACTCTGCATCTGCTTAAGGGCTTCAAGTGCTTTTTCAGCATTGCTCTCTTGCCAAACTCCAACAATGGCGTTAAGGATTAAAATCAATACTATCACAAATGGTTCTACATAGGCTTCAAACCCTGACTCCCCTGACTCACCTCCACCCAGGAAAGCTAGAACAAAAGATATGAAGGCTGCAACTAGAAGTATTTTTACAAGCGTGTCATCAAATTGCTCTAACACAAGCCTCCATAAAGGCTTGCCCTTCTCTTTGGAAAGCTCATTCCAGCCATACCTTTCACGCCGCTTCTCGGCCTCATAAGTGCTCAGGCCCTTGTCTAGTTTCACATGGTACTCTTTCAAACACTGCTCAACCGGCCATGACCATGCTGGGACTGGCTTTTCTTCCATTGATGCTTCAATTTTGGTGCTCAAATTTCACCCCAAATGAAAGCAAAAGAAAAACTACCTTACTTGAAATTCTCTTAAACCCATGTCAGGTACCTGCATAATAATTCAAAAACATGTAAGGAATTTCAACAGAGCATGAATTAACCATATATCCTCAAAATATAAATATGTTTAAAACCTGTAAAACAATTTCACGAACCAGATTTGAAAAACTCATCGAGAAAATTTACTGTTCAAGACAAATTGAGAACTTTTACACTCTTTTTCTCCTCTACAAACCCAAAAATGTCTTCTTCTTTTTTTCTTATACTAATTCTTCAAAGTAAACCAGAGGATAAGTCAGTGACATACAGCATAGTTTCAACTCATTCACAGCAGAGCCATAATATAAAGACCAGGCTGCAACAGAAAAGAGTAGTTTCAACTTTCAACTCATTTAAAGCCCGGCAAGAGAGAGAGAGAGAGAGAGAGAGAGTGAGTGAACAGAACTAGTCTGCAAACAGATTAAGCAGAGAATATGAACTGAAACTGAAGTGTATGTGAGACAAATGTTAGCAGCAAAAGAAAACCATACAAAAATAAGGCAGTTAAAAAGCACAGCACCCCAACAACATATGTCATTTATCTGCAAAACCCAGAAAACAACAAAAGCAAAAACAAAATTTGAACTGTGTGGAGCTTACTTGAACTAAAAATAACTGACCCTTCAACAAGAACATGAAGAAGACATGAAAGATACCGAAGCTGGCTGACTGGCTGGCTTGGACACAAAGCAATTCAAAGTTCAAAGTACACAAAAACTTGTCAAAGAAATGAATGGTTTTGTTTTGAACTTTTAATGAGTGGACTGGCTCCTGTTGATCTTTCTTTTTCTTTGGCTTTTACTTTTTTATTTATTTTTTATTTCCTCCTGGGAAGAATTTTGGGATCTTTAAAGCTTTAAACTTTCAAAATTCGCGTCTTCTTGTGGGTGGGTGAGTTGAGCTTAAAAAATTTTGAAGGAGAGGAGATCGTGCAGCACGAATATGAGATCGTGTTGACGATTATGACCTCGTGGGTTTGGATTATTTACGCGTGGAGCCCCTCAGATTGACTTGTTACCTGCATTTTTTATTGGTGACTTGTTTGCCGTACGCGTATGGCCGTAGGAAGGAATCTATGCTTCCATTTCCATCCTTTTTGTGTGTTCAAGAAAAAACCAGAAATAAACAAAAATGAACTGTTAATTCAAAGCAGAATAATTATTATTTTTAATTAATCTCTTAACTAGAATAGAACTTGATGCTCCTTTCATATTCTTGTCTAACTTGTGCCGATGGTTTGGAATTATATTTTACATGCTTTTTGGATTTTCACGAATCTCGTATGCATGCATACCTGTAAATGCACACGTCAAAATTATTATTATAAATAACAAACCTTACGCCATGAATCAAATTTATTAAGTTCATATGAGCCTTTGTACTTTTGTGAGAAATTTATTTGAAACTACTTAAGTTTACAACTTGTCTCATATTCATCTCTTTGTCCGTGGAAACTTGTGTATTCATGTTTTACGATTTTAATTACAATTATTTTAACACCCGTAAACTATAGAATTACAACCTAACTATTTAATTTACAACAGTTGATTTGGCTCTTATTTATAAACAACAATTGATTAAAAGCTGTGGAGCTGGCTGCCAACATATATAAACATTAAACACCAATTGGCTGTTCTAGCTAGGATTGAACCGACGTCGTACACGACGGAGACGTATACATATAAATTAACGTCGTACTCATGTGTATGTTAAACACGCCCAAAGGACACCGTCGTATGATCGTATCATTGTTAAAATTTCATCCGTACCCCCACAGAAAAGAGAAAATGACAGCCAGACAGACAGGTAAAAAGAAGAGAATTTTTAAGGTGGTGTGGTTTGGGGACAGGGCTGCTGCTAGGCTGGTAAGAGCTGAAGACCAAATGATAATAATAATCAATGATGGCATTTGTTTGTGCGGCTAAAAACCCTGCTTAATCATCATTACCATTAATCAAATTGTTTAATGTTAATGGGGTGGGAAATCCCATTCAAACCAAAGTTCCTGGTAGTTTCTTCTTTTACCTGCCCATAACCACTACCTCATTAAACTAGGGTTTGTTATCAGTTTGGGATCATAAGACAGTGACTTTATTTCTATTTCCTTCTCAATGGCTTCGATCCAAAAATGCAATTTGCTTGCTTACTCATTAGTTTAGTTTTAATTTTTAAGAAAAATAAGAATTTTGCCTCAACTTCGAGTGGTAAAGAAAGGAATGGTTTGACAAATAAATAAAGGAATAATGTTGCTGCAAGGGGCTTGTAGCCCGAGTGTTTATAAATATTTATCCTTTTATTTGAGATCTTAAGTTTGATTCCCTCATCTCCCGATATTCCTTGTATATTTTTTTAAAGAAAAGATGAAAGGAAGGGTACTGCCTAAGCTAAATTATAAATGAAGTTGTTGTTCAAGTTGCACTCTATCATTTCTTTGTTTGGTTGGTTTAGCATATCTGTTTTTAATGGAAATAATTCCACTTGTGTTTTGTAGGTACACTTGTCAATGGGAGGAATCTCCAAAATATCTTCCAAAGCTTGGAGGAGTTGCGATTAAGTACTAAAAGAACTTAAAACTATATATAAATAGTGAAGTGCAAAATCATAATTTCGAAAATTTCTTTAAAATCCCCAACACAAATCTCACAAAAGTAGTCAACTTTATAGGTGTCAAACTAGTGGGCCCATTTTGTGTTCGTGTCGTGCTTAGCTCATTTTGTTCTTGTGCCGTGCCTGTTTAATGGGTTAAAAACTTCGGCATATCCTGGTACATCGCAAAAAGGCTATAATGAGGAGTTTAGAGTGATGAGCTTATTTGAGGGGTTTAATCTCACTATCAACAAATGTGAGGAAATCAATAGACTTAAACATTTTAAATAGTTTGACCCAGCCTGTATCATGCTCGTACTGTGCATATTATAATAATGTCGGTCCATGGGCCGACCAGTCCTTTAGTCCTACTCATCATCATGTAGGCCCCTAGCTTAAGATACGCCCAACGAGTAGTCCAAATAAACCTCAGCAGCCCATTATCCTAACACGAAAACTCGGACAATCGGACGGTCGATATGATAAGGCCCCGGCCGATTAAGATACGGTTGGATATAAAATGCCCAAACCTTACCCTTTCCCCGCTCTCTAATTATTCCCCGCTCTAGGGTTTGCTTGTTTCTCTCTGCTTCGGCCTTTCAGGTATGATTTCTCTAAATTTTTACTATCCTCTACCTTCCCTTTAATTTTTCTTAATCTTCAATTGATCTTTCTCTGTCTTTTTCTATGTTCATCTGTTTGTTCCTCTGTTTTTCTCTTATTCTCAGTCGTTTGCTCTCTTATTTGGGTTTTTCAGATTGTTTATTTTGCTGTAATTTGCGGGATAGTAGCTACAATGAGGCCGGTTTTCGTCGGAAACTTCGAGTACGAAACTCGGCAATCGGAGCTGGAACGCTTGTTCTCCAAACACGGGAGGGTCGATCGTGTGGACATGAAGTCTGGTACGACATTATCGATTGATTTTGATTCATTAATCTCTTTCACAATATAAACTTGAATGATTTGCACAGAAAATTCTATCTTCTGATTGTTGGAGTTGCTAAATTTACGTTCATCATAGTTATATTAGTATATTTCAGTATGGTTTTCCTCTGTAATTCACTTTATTATCTGGGCGTTTGACAAGTTCATGCTTTTGGCATATAGGAGTGTGTGTATGCCTGCTGCCTTTTGAATTTGTGATAAGTTCAATTGCATCGTATTTGTTTTTTTTCCTCTGGTTTATCGAATCATTGTCGAGAATGTTCAGTGATTTCAGTTGCCAGTGCTCCCTCTACCTGCCACACGTCGGTTAAATTATTTTATTTGTGATTAAGTAAGAGTCCTAGTATTAATATAAGTTTTTTGGTTATGGATATACTACTACTTTTCTAGTGCGCATATCCAATGCCTCTTTTCCCGGAGGAAAGGAAGCGGCCACCACAAATTTGCAATATTTTTGGAGAAAATCTCCGCATTTTAAGTGTTTCTTTTGTCGCAGGAACTTGTCTACTAAAGGAAAATGAACTGAGCTTCTATCTGGGCTCGCCAACATCACTGCCATAATTTTAATTTGGAAAAGGAAACCAACCTGGTTGCCTGCTTCTCTACACTCCATTTACAGATAGCAACATTCCGCATTTTCTTCACTCGGTCTTCCGTCACTCACCCACTTCATCGCATAAAGTTGCCATTTCACAAGAATGGTCATAGTGGGATCAATCATTTGTTATGCCATGCCTGTCACAAGTCTACTACTGTTCATAGGAGATTAATGAAATCTGGCCATGCCTACAATCACTGATAATAGGAGGATCTTTGATTCTATCATGCCATGCCTTCCATTTCTGAACTCGTGCTCTCTGAATGGCGAAGCATGCTTAGCAATGATTTCTCAGACCTGAAACTATGGATTAAAACCTTTAGTATGCTACCATCATGATTTAGTGCATCATGCAACGCCTCTACAGTCTTATGTGCATCAGCCCCTCACATAAATGCAGGTGTTGTATTTACTTTAGTTTGTGCCAGGGGAAAGATATATGAGGCTGATGTACTCCCTGATGAGTGGGTTATATGCTGATGCTTCCTTTGTTCTTATCTGTTTCTGATTTTTCCTCTCTGTTTCAGGTTTTGCCTTTGTCTATTTTGAGGATGAGCGGGATGCTGAAGATGCTATCCAGAACCTCGACAATAAGCCATTTGGTTATGACAGGCGCAGGCTATCTGTGGAGTGGGCTAAGGTACAATCTAGTTTTCTATTTATAATCTTTCTCCTTGAAGTCCCACAGTAATTTTTTTTGAGGTATGCTCAGTTCCGGGAGTGTTTAAAGACATCACTATATCTGGTTTTTAACCCCTAATAATTTGACTTGTCAGGGTGAACGTGGTCGCCATCATGATGGTTCTAAATCAGTAGCAAACCAGAGGCCAACTAAAACTTTGTTTGTCATTAACTTTGATCCCCTCCGAACCAAGGTTCGTGATATCGAAAGACACTTTGAACCTTATGGGAAGGTGCTTCATGTCAGAATTCGTCGGAACTTTGCATTTGTGCAATTTGACACACAGGAAGAAGCTACCAAAGCTCTTGAGGCTACTCACGCAAGGTCAGTAATTTGTTTCCTTTCTTACTTGGTTAACTCTTTTGACTAAAAGGCTGACAAGCTGAAGCAAAATTTTATCATTTGCAGCAAGATACTGGACAGGGTTGTGTCTGTTGAGTATGCTTTGAGGGATGACGGTGAGAGAGGTGATCGATATCATGATAGTCCCAAAAGAGGCAGTTATGGTAGGCGTGGAGATAGTCCTTTTGGGAGGTCACCAAGTCCTGTGTATCGCAGGCGTCCAAGTCCTGATTATGGTCGGCCCCGTAGTCCAGCATATGACAGGTACAACGGTCCAGTGTATGACAGGCACAGGAGTCCTGATTACGGAAGGAATGAGAGTCCTGAATATGGCAGATACCGCAGGTGAGCTGTTGGGAGTAGAGTTCATTTGCTTGTTAGCTGTTGAAGGCAATACTATTTCATTTCCTGATCCGTTTTCTTGAATCTCTGCTTACAGTCGCTCGCCTGTTCGAAGATCAAGAACCTGAAGTCATTGGATGCAGTAGTGGGTTAAACATGTTAGTTCTTGTGGTTTTGCTGTAGCTTTAGGTAAATTTGTAGAGGATGAACGTATTATGATAGTGCTTAGGTTCCTTACATTGTATTGTTGACTATGCGTTCCGAAGTTTGCTGTTATCAAACTAGTGTTCTACCGTTGAAGTAATCAATGGATGTGGCTAGATTCGCTTGCTGGAAACATATTGGCTTCTTACGGCTGTAGTGTTTGCTTTTGACCTATTGTTTGAGTTGGCAATGAAATTGAAATGTTGGGTTTCTAGGTTGCAGGATTGATTTTATTTCTTACAAACTAATCAAAGTGGTGATTTGGAATGTGGGGTGATGCCAACCTACTTTTTTAAGTTGTTGGGATGATATGGGCCTTGTCGAGTCAGAACGACAGCTCTTTGTTTTATCACAGTTTTGTGGCTTGTTCATGGCTTTGATTAAAGATTGCCTAAAGCAGCAAGCAACTTGCCATTCTTCTTGAATGAAGTTCATGCGGAGGAAGCTTCGTTGCATTCTGGGCAGCTCTTCCACCATATGCCATTTCAGTCACGCAATTTCTAAGCTTAATTACCGGGGAATATGCTTTTAGCACTTTCGGTTCAACGTGGCTCCTACTGGTTATGAAATGGTAGCTTCAGAAGGCAACAATTTTTCATTTTATTTTATTCTCACGTTTCTCAAAATCACTTTAAAAATTCGATCCCATAAGCATCCTCATAATTATCAGCAATTTCTTTATTGATTACCACCTGTTCCTTGTGATTAAGCCAAATTAACACAAGTTTCAATGGATGCTCATTTGGGGGGTGAAGGGGGCAAATGGGACAACAAACCCTTAATCATTGATCTTCTCCTCTTAATTACACCATGACATCCAATCCAACAATTTAATAACATCATTAACCGTAGCCTGCAGCAACCAAGTTGCAAAAAACAGATTGAGATCATAAATATTTTTTCGTTTTCTCAGCTACTGCAATTCAAGAATCAAGTGCTTGAGGACTTTTGAGTTTCTTGATCAAGAGCCTTCTCAAGCCATGTCTCAGCATCTTCCATCATCTCAGGACTCAGCCTCACCATCAGGATACAAAACTCAGTCTCATTGAGTGCACCATCTCCATCAAGATCTCCTTCCCCAACCATCGCCTCCGCGTCCTCTTTGCTCATTCCCTCCATGCCGAGATACGCCGAATTCTTCTTCAGGCTCTCCGGGGTGATCAAACCTCTTCCGGGGTCTGCCAGAAGCCGAAAACCCCCGCATAACTCGGACACAAAGCTCTCCACGTCCAGCTTCTCTGCCATAACTGGCAACAAGTCCTGGTATTCTGTTGTTGATGTGGTCTTCCTTGTGGAGCCATTGGTTTCCATGGTCAGCTTGCTGCTGTTGCTCAAAGACAATATTCTATTTCTAATGTGGTTTGCTAGGGTGGAAACTTTGATACAAAAACAAATACCACAAGGACTTTGCACAACTATGAAGAATATATATATAATGGTTGGCTTAGGCCTTTATAAGCATATGGAAAGTCACTTGCTTTTTATGTAGAAGCTATACATCAATACAAAATACATCATTTTTGTTAGGGTACAAGCGATAGTCTAAATCATAAGAGAGAGAGATTTCTCACATACACACAACTATGATACCGTTGATTCAAATATAATACAAGCGATAGTCTAAATCATAAGAGAGAGGGATTTCTCACATACACACAACTATGATACCGTTGATTCGAATATAATACATTTGATATGCAAGTCAAGAACGTTTCATTGTACATCATTGTTTGTGTGGAATTTAGTGATATTTATTGGCCACATGCCTGGCAGGCTTTGAGTTCTCCTTCAATCTTAGCCCTCCCATTTTGGGTTGTTAGAACTTAAAAGCCTTGATGCCCCACTACCCACAAATTGCCTAAAGCAATCCACTCGTCATTGAAGGGAATTTACACATATGTGATGTTGAAAGTCTATCAAATGGACGGTTGGTTCATCAAGGAACAAGACACGTGGATGGCCTAAAAATGTTTGAAATTCCAAGTCCTCCTGACATATAATGTGACCAATCTGATATTTATTTATTTTGGTTCTAATCTGATATTGAATTTTATTCCAATTAATTTGAACGGTTTCTAGGAAGGTTCTTTTTAGTGGGGGAATAGGGACCCTTGTGGCCAAACGTAATCTTCAGAGAGAGAAAAGCTGAAGTTGTCCGTGAGCTTTGGCTTCTATGAAGCTTCCTTTCTCTCTTATCAATTTGGTTGTTTGGATTCTTCTACTTTGTAGTTCTGTCATGGATCTCTGCCGTCCGATTTTATTGTTTTCTTTTCTCACTAATAAGTCCCCAACCAACCCTTTGGAGCATTTGCCACCACCCACACCTGTAGGTCAGTGCTGATGATAAACGTGGGACGGAAGGAGATGGCCAGTTTTTCTTAAATTTATTTATTGAAGGAAGAAGAGAGCGAAAGTCGAATTCTTATTCCAAATAATTAAGTGCTCTACCACTCAGATTATTAATTTATTTTGTGCCTAACTCGTTCACAAGAACTACATTTAGTTGATCTAACATGCCTAAAGTTAGTTACCAATCTGACTGTGAACATGACGTCTGTGACTTAAGGATCGAATCAGAATCATAGAGCCTTCACATAAAAGCTTAGTTTTTGTGGTATGTAATGATTCTGATTCTCCAATGGCATCACATTTCATTTTGGGAGATTCACTATTATACACAATATAGGGAGCCCAAATGACATAAAAATTCTACATAAAATAAACTTTAGAAACATACCCAAATTCCATTACAATATAACAAAAAGGTTTCGAACTTTCTATAAATTACAAAACTACCATCAATTTATTAAAACAAGCCAAACCCCAAAACTTCATTAAAAAAAACTCAAAAAACTCAATAGGTTATTAAAGAAATTTAATAATCAAAATTAAATTCAATAGAGTCAGCTGTCATTTTTTAGGTTTGTTTATAAAAATTAAATGGTGTAAAGTTTATCTATATTACTAATGCTAAGAATGGATATATATATAAAACTAAATATCTCATTCTTTTTTCATTGACATCTCCTTTTCTAGTTTTTGGAATTTATATCTCATAATTGAGAAAGTTATGCATATTCTCGTCACATTCATCTGACCCACGTCCTGGCCGAAATAACAAAATTATGGGCAATGAAAACAAAATTCATCAAGAAAGTATTAGTCACGACGAGTAAAGCAAACAAAGATGTCGACCAAAAAAACAAAGATAAATGGTATCATAGGAACCAGTTAAATCATCATTCGTCGTTATATCGACAAAAATACAAAAGAAGTCGGTAAGAATGCAATGATCACTTAATTAGAATATACTTTATTTTAACAACTACTCCATTAGACCAAGTTAATAGATATTTTGCCTTTAATTAACATCAATCCACCGAAAGTCCTTTATTTTCATATGCATCCAAACAACCTGCACAACAATGCACCAATGCCTAAAAAGAGGGAGAAAGTTAACAAGTGGACAATCTAAAAGGAATTTGTGAAGCCCTACAACAAGAAAAAGGCTAAGGCCCAAATTTCCCATCCCTATCAAGGATCAACAATGCACCTTCTCCATTTGATCAGCAAGGCAACATGAACTTCCAAATTTTCTTCTTGTCAACTTTTCATGTATCAAGTCCTCGGCAATACCAACTTCTCCAATTCACAATGGTTACTACCACCTAATTCAGGGATATGGTAACGTTCTACTGTCAGATATTTAATATGTTATGTTTTTTTTTTTTAAATTCGACAATCTATTGTCAAATTGTTTAATTTTTAGTCTTTTTAGTTAGGTAAACTAATATCAATTATTTGACACATAGTTAGGGTTATGTTCTATATTGTCATATATCTAATATATTATGTTGTCTGACAACCGAATGTGAAACTGTCTCATAAACTAAAATGTTCCTTCGTGCATTTGTTTACTTTTGCAAGATCATTACTAACAAAGGACACCACAAAGCCAGTTGAATAGACTTCTTTTGTACACGATGAATAGAAACTTACGAAAAATCAAACCAAACGAATTCCGCAATCCATTTCAGTATGCTACCAATTCACCTTGGCAATCTTAAATTTTTCAAGAACAAACTTTCCTTCTTTGTACTTTTGCAATTCCTCATAGGCTTTTACATATTTCCAGCCCAACACCTCCTTACAATCACAGCAGTGTACATCTGCAACTGCGTGCAGGCCGGTGATGAGATATCGGCCCTCTGTAGGCCCTACAACCACATTCATTGCATGGGAGAACAGAAACGCTCTGCCCCGGCTTGCCTATCAAAGCAAAGCAAATAAGAATTCACTAATGAATGATATACATACGTTTATATAAGAATTTATCTGATTATTGATTGTGTGACAACATAACATGTCAGACTGTAAAATCAAATTCATTTAAACATCGACAATGGAAAAGTGTGACATATTAAATCAATAAAGAAAGATTTCTACAAACTGAAATATCAATTTTGTAGTAAATTATAACACACACCAGAGAGCAGAGTTTCAATGCATGATGCATCATAGTGTTTATGGAGAGATCAAACATGGTTCACCTGAAAATCTTTGGAGACAATATCATCATGACAGCAAACATGGTTCTGGCACTTGTAGCAGCCATACAGCCTTGGCCCAGCTAAATCCTCCATTGATTAGGATCTTTGCTTAATATCAATATCTCTTTACTGCTGTACACAAATTACAAAGAGAAAGAAATAGTCAAATACAAATTAATTGCAAATCTTGATGTTAGCCATCAAGCCAAAGTCTTCTTCTCCATAAAACTGAATAGCAATCACCCAATTGAAGAACACCATTTTGGGGACCAATTATTGAGATAAGAGTCTAACAAAAGGATAAAATTAACAAAGATGATTGATGAGAGAATCCAAACAATATATGTTGGATAAAGAAATGGGGTTGATTAAGACAGGATTGTTGATTAGTACTCTAATCTTTCCAAAGTTTGGAAGACAATGATAATTTAATAGCATTTAATATATGTTGAAGGTGTTGTGTCACAATTCATCCTTAATTAAATGAAAAACCTAAAGCATTGTTGTTTCTTACTTGGAGACTATCCTTCTTTTCAATACCTACCTACCCACCCATCAGGGAGAGAGAGAGAGAGAGAGAGAGAGAGGTTTTACTGTATTTTATTGTACCTTTCTTCAAAGCTGAGGGTTTTTGAGGGTTTTGGGTTTTTGACTTTCTGAGTAATAGATTATGAAGAGAGTAAAGAGAGTTAAAATATGCCTAAACAAGGTAACTAAAAAATCTATAAAAAAAAGTGACAAAAACAAGAAAGAAATTTATATATAAAAAACGAAGACAAAAAAATGGCAAAAAAGATAGAAATTCTCTAAAAAGCTTCATCAATTAATATTAATATGATAAAATTATTAAAATTAATTTACCATACAAACTGTTTTTTTTCCTGTGGAAAACAAAATTACCACACAAATATTTACAAATTATTAAGAAAACTATCGACTTTCTTTTTCATCACAAAATTTACTAAAATTAAACCTCAAGGCACCGTCTCTTCATCAAATTAAAGGACGACCCTCACCTCACTGACTGAGACTCTGATTAGGGTTTCACGCAAAGCCCTGCCAAGTTCACTGGGTGGAACCGATTTCCTCTGAATCCGTGGAAAGGTATGTAATTTAGTGCCGCAGAATTCATTTTATGCATGTTTTTGCGGACTTTTGTTATTTTGATGAGTTTTTAGTGTCTATGGTGCATAAAGATTTAATCTCTTGCTGAGAATAAATAAATATACTATCTCTGCCTCTTGTGTGGGTTTTTCATTTCCTGGATAATGTTTACGGTTGGTTAGTAATTGAAATTTTCTCATTAGGCTATTGATTGTTATTGGTTCTTGTCAAACGGGTACCTGAACACTCATAGTTAGGAGTTAGCTCAACTCTTTTGCAATTTTGCTTTATTTGTCTTGTTCTTAAGTCAAATTGTGTAATGGGATTTTTTATTTTTAGTTTCCTGTACGTGGTTAGTATTGGTGTGAATTGTTCTTGGTAGTTGTATAAGTAAATACAGTATAATGACATCTCGAAATCCAAAAGAATTGCAGAGAGTGACTTCTTGTTTGAAGCTTTAGGACATGGAATTCTGCCCGAGTTGTGCAAATATGCTGCAGTATGAGCTGCCGAACATGCACGATGCAAGATTCTTCTGTCCAACTTGTCCCTATGTGGCATACGTCGATAGGAAGGTGTAGCTAACGATTCATATTCAAAGTTCTCTTGTTATGGCTTTTTAAGGGTGTACAAAATGTGATTGCTGGTTTACTTTTTGCACTTGCAGGTTAAGATCAAGAGAAGGCAACATCTAGTTAAAAAAGAGATCCAACCCATCTTTACCCTGGATGACTATAAGAATGCGCCCAAAATTGAAGGTTTGTTTCATTTTTCCTGCCCTAGAGGTTTCTTGTTTTTCTCTTTCTTTTGGTTCAAGTCATAATTTCTTCATCAGAGTAGGAATGTTTGTTAAAACTGGTCAGAAACATGCTGTTTTGAGCTCATTTCTTGAAAAGCAGTTCAGTACTTTTGATGTGGTTGCTGAAGTAAAGAAAATTATTTAAATTTTAAGTTCTGAGTTGGGTTGTTAGAGTAATCTGTTAGCTTTTGGTTGGACGAGGTTCATCATCTGAGGGAATTCAGGCTCTTTAGAGGTTATCTGTGAGGGTTGTTCTTGTCTCGTAAAAGGATTAGGTATCTTATTACACACAAGAGGACTTTTTCCACATCTTGAGTTCCCCTTGATCTGTTCTTAACAAAGTTACTAGTTTATGGGGAAGATGGCAGGTGATAAGCATTGATGACTATAAGAATCCTTACAAAATATTATCCAGTTTGGGAACTAAAGGGAAGTAGCTTTCATGCCTTGAGATTAAAGAAGTTTTTAGAATTCTCCACTTGTTTCATCGTCAAATTAAATGAAAATTCAACTTTAATCTGATTGGTTATGGGCCCAATTCTTGAAGATTTGGACTCCATTTAAATGGCAAGAAAAGAGAGAAATCCTAAATAAATGCTTCTACAGAAAGGAAAAACCCTTGGTTGAGGATACGATAGATGAGAGTTAGTTAGCATGGTGTGGTCAGGGTGAAAATCAGTCATTCCAATGGACCAGAATATGGTCAGAAAGCATGTCACACACAGATGTGGAGGAATATCCAGTGTTATGGAATTTACAATATTGATAGATGACTTGTGTGGAATTGATGCTGTGAAAATGTTTCTGAAATTGTTTTACGAAGGTTTAGGTTATCTTGAGCTTTGCATGGTATAGCTAAAACTCTTTTCTCTAATTGGTATGAGATATTGCTCTTGGTTCTACTCTTACACATCTGCAGTAGTTGTCTGTAATGTATCAATCTCAACTGAATCATAAAACTTGATGAATGTCCAACTGAAATTACATACAGCCAAGCATTTGGTGCTTGAATATGAATGTCAAAGCATAGGACACTGTCTTATTCTTGAATTCATTTTGTTGTTCTCCTGTTGATGCTAATGCCCTGTAAAATTTTGTTGTACAATTGCGAATTTTTCAAGAGATGAGGTCTGACTTGTTTCTGTGCTTTCTTGTTCTTCTCTTCTCTGGCAGAACCATGCCCAAGATGTGGATTTCCTGAGGCAGCTTACAGGACACAGCAAACGCGATCTGCTGATGAAGCAGAAACAAGATTTTTCAGGTGTATGAACAACAACTGTGGACACACGTGGGTTGATTACTCTTAGAAGGAGATCTTTGTGTTCGTAGAGTTGTGATCCGTTTTACTTGCTCCAGTTTTGAGTTTTGGCAGAACTGTGAGGTGACATTGTGGACTGCCTCAACAAAGGGAAATAATACTTAATTATTCATACATTGTGTTGTTTTATCTTTTGCTGCAATGACCATTCTTTCATCATCGCTTCATGAATTTATCAAAGTTATAATCAAATCTGCAATAAAAAAGGCGGCTGAGCGTTTATCAACAAATCTGGTAAACTATTTATACTCATCAAACAAAAGCAAACAGGAAATCAGCACAAAATTTAGTCCAGAGAAGGATCACGCCTTCTGAAAAAAGTGAGCCGCATCCAATACAAAGGTTAAACATCTTGTCGACCGTTAAATAGAAATACCAGTGAACATTATAAACGCAGATAAAAGTGGTCAAACAGGGGAAATTTTTTAGAGAAAATATGGGTTCAGTATGATCTAAATTAGTGAACAGGCACTTTCTTCTTTTCTATCCATCTCTTTCTAGTCACTTCCAATGCTTTCTCCCTCATCCTAGAGAGTTCTTGGAACCAGCGCTGGTACTGTGATTCAATGGTATCAAGTACCGACTTCAACTCAGCATCCAGATCATTATCTGCCAAAGACAGTGAAGAACAGCTGCTTGTCAAGCTCATAACCTTTGGTGCTTCAATTTCAAGCAACGGAAACACCAACTTCTCTGTGATCCCATTCACCAGAGAGCATTCCTCTGCATTACTAGCATAGTTGCTTTGAAATTTGATGTCATAAAAAAATGAGCACATGCAGCTTCCAGCAGTATTGCTGCAATCAACAGATTCAGCTACTTTGTCGTTTTTGGTGGAAGCATCATCAACCAGTACAGCAGACTCAACTGATACTTTCGAATGTTCATCAGCAAAATCAGCAAAGCTTGGATAAGAGGTAATGCCACCATTACAATTAACTGTTTCAGTGTTATCACAGCAACTACCATCTTGCTCAACCCCGGAACTAGAAGGAATACCAGATAGCGCTGAACCCCACAGGCTGGACATTGAGGGTTGGCCACCATAAGGACTTACTGGTCCGCTTGAGGAATAATCAGATGAAGGCTTCCAACCGGGTAGAAGTTTCATTATCAAGTAATCAATAAACTCAGCAATGAAGGCTACATCATGATCTGTTAACTCCAGTTGTTCAACCATCTCACTCGCCACAGACACTGCGGTATCAGTAGCAAGGTAAAAGAGAAAATGTATGTTCCTCACCTTACCTGTAAGGTACAAAAAGAGTCATGTTATTAAATTCCTGCACTGGAACCACACTACAAAAATTTGGATATCCACTCTCTCCCAGTTTCCGTACTCACCACATGCATCAGCAATACGCAAGGTCAATGAGACTGAATCATCGTCATTTTTCATCCCATTTAACCTGAACTGGTTGTTTTTATTTGTCCTTAGAAATTCCAGAACCTGTGGACTTCCATTGTTGCTTCCTGCACATGTGCTTATAGATAGCTGCTTATAATCAGTATCTATGTCCATGGAAAGAGGCCCCGACTTGGGTAAATTTATTACTTTCAAACTTTGGTTAGGTAACTGTAAGGGATCACGGATTGGTTCCATCGGGTTGTCAACTTGAAGGAATGGGTCTTTGAGCAGCTCTTTTGCAGAAAGCCTCTCGGATGCTTGAACCAGACATTTCTCAATGAACTCTTTAATTTGGGGGTCATTCACCTTACCAAGGGATGCAGGTTTAATGCCCTGCAATATAACATACCAGAAATTAGATACCTAGGCTGCCTAATGATTCTACTTCAAACAGCCAACAGAAAGAATAATGATGATAATTCTGATGATTTTCGGCAACTTACAGAGGTAACCTTCTTAAATATTTGAGCAGGACTTTTGCATTCACTATATGGATACTCAAAAGTAACCATCTCTAACATGCACATCCCGAAAGAGTATATGTCGACGAGTTCGTTATACTCCTCTTCATAGAGCTCTGGAGCCATAAACTCAGGAGTCCCTTACGTAGAAAAAGGAGAAATTTCAGTACTAATTTGGTCAGTTAAAATTAAGAGATGGCATCTGATGACATAGATTTCTCACCAATCACACTTCGAGCAGTAGGTTGTTGCATAACAGTTGCCAATCCCAGGTCTCCGATTTTAACTTCTCCATGATTTCCGTTGATGAAAATATTGTCACATTTTAAGTCTCTGTGAATGATAGGCGGGTTGTGACTGTGGAGAAAGACTAAACCTCGGAGAATCTGCCTCGCCCAATTCCTTATGGCCTTAGTATCGACATTTTTATACTTCTTCCGGTACCTGATAACCAAAAGGTGCATCATCAGTTTAATGGCATATAGTGCAGCCAAGCGATACAAAGACATAATGAGAAACAATTAATAGAACATACTGCCTTAGACTTCCAGATGTGAAGAGCTCAGTAATCATGTTAATAGTATTTTTGTGGTCATCCACCCAGGAATTATAAAACTTAATAATATTTTCATGATTCAGTGATTTCAGCAGATGAACTTCAGAGTACAATTTTTCCAAATCTTCTGGTGATCGCGAGACAGCATCAATCTTCACTTGGTTCCAAGCGACTTCTATTCCATCAACTTCATCAAATGCCTTGTAGCTGCAGAACGAAATGACAAATCCAAGCGAAAAGCCAGAAAAATTGCCTCAAGTTAACAAAATATAACTTCCTAAATGTAATGGCTTTCAAACCAAAGAAAGAAAAGAAGGGCAATGACTTTCCGAAAGAAATAGCAGCACAATAAACCTGAAGGAGGAAGAAAGAAAAAAATTAAAGAGAAAAAGGTCTCAGAACCATACACAGTCTTGAAGGCACCCTTGCCCAAGATTTCATTGTACTGTTACCAAGAAAAAGAGAATAAATGAATCAAAGAAGAAATAATGACCGAGAAAACAAAAACAATTTTCTCATTTCTAACAAGCAAATAACATGGGCAAGCTAGAAGCAATAAATTATCTATATAGTCAGCCAAATTGGCTTGAAAGTTAGCTCAATCTGATAACAAATAATACAAAGGACATGCAAAATTAAAAACAAAAACCAGATTCAGAGAATGACGGATAACAATTCATGTCAAGAAATTATATGAAGCAGAAAAGATACTGATTATGGAGTAAATAAGTCAACAATGAACAATCAATACTAACTTAGATTAAATCATTGGCTTGAGCAATATATTTGCATCAAATGTGACCAATTACAACATGAATGTCAATACACCAAAACCATACAAACATATCGACAAGGAACAAAAAACAAGATTGCAGATTGAAAACCAGCATTCACCAATAAGTAAAATCTAAATTTCAATAAGATATCAAATTCCATTTAACATTTCCAATCCAAAATGCAATTCAAGTTGTGACAAATACCCGAACATATCGATTGCTCGGGTCTCTCTCTGCATAATCGGCCTCTTCATTGGGAGGCTTCACCTTCGAAAGCATTCCATTACTTGATGGTGGAACCAAACTAACCCCTGTATCCATTTCCTGTGAAGAACCAAACAGCTACCAGAAAGACAAGGACTTTTTATATAATTTGTTTTTGCTTTATTAAATAGTTTTGTGGGTTAAATTTTATTCTTTAAAAAGTGTGTTCTCTCATTCAGCTAATGGGAGCAATCGCGGTTAATCGGGTCAACAACCGACGACGCTCATAGAAGGCTTCGGAGGCAATGCAGAAGGGATCGAATGCCGATTGGAAGCGAAATCGGCATTCGATGTCAATGGAGTGAGGCAATGAGCCGAGAAAGTTCAAGACCCCAAGTTCCATACAAATCGATTTTCTCATTCTTTACACCAAGCCCATCACAACCCACTTGAGGAAATCCATCTCTTAAGCAAACCCAAGTCGCAGAAAAGGCCTCAAAAGTGCTGGAAGTTGAACATTGGGATGACCCAGATGAGAGAGAGAGAGAGAGGAGGGGTGTGCAATTCGACCGTTTGAGATTGAGAAAAAATGGGTTTTGGAATTTGAGAGAGAAGGTGGAGAGGGGGAGAGAGCGGGTATGCTGGATTTTGATTTCGGAGACGTGCGAAAATGAAGGTCACAACAGACATTTGTGTGGTCGTTTGTCTTTTATTTATTTATTTATTTTTCAAGGAACAAAAAAATTGGTTAATTGTATTTTGTGGGGTCCAAGTGCAAGTAATTCTTTCCATCACTAATTCTAAACAACCGGTGATGATATTAAGGAAGAAAATTTTAACCCCCTCAAAGGAAGCATAATGGTCTTGCATTTTTCACTATTTATTTTCACATCACTTTCGAATCAAAATCAGTAACTAAATTGTAGACGTGAGTTAAGTCAGTTGATCAGAATAATGAGTCTAACACCTTATATTCAAGTTTGAGTTCCTCTCATTCAAGATTAATTTAGATATAGTTTGTACATCAAAAAAAAAAAAAAATCAATCAATAACTTTGAATTACATTTTTCATGTCATAAATTTTATATGAATTCTTTCATCACAAGGTATTTAGATACATGCAAGTTGCAACGCATGAACCAGAGACCAATATGTTATAAATAGAAGCAAGAGAGTACCAACAGCACAAAGGTTTCGTGGTGTAGTTGGTTATCACGTCAGTCTAACACACTGAAGGTCTCCGGTTCGAACCCGGGCGAAGCCATTGCAATTTTTTTGAACCCCATCTACATTTTTGCCCTTTTAGACTTGAGTTATACGACGAGTCGTATGCTTTCAATTATTAGACAACGACAATTTAATTATCACAGCCCAGTACTATTACGCCACGTGTACAATTTTATGTTAAATCATTGGTCGGTCCATCTGCGAAGAGTGCAGTGACAGCACTGGCACTAATTTCTCCATTCTATGAAAGTCTCACCTTTTTTTATTTTTTCCTCCTCTGCACACTCGCAGAAAATGGAAACCAGTAGAGTCTCTCGATCCCGACAGAAGGCTGACGTGGCAGGCGTGCTCCGGAAATCATGGTACCATCTACGGCTGTCGGTGAGGCACCCGACCAGAGTTCCCACGTGGGACGCCATCGTCTTGACGGCGGCCAGTCCCGAGCAAGCCCAGCTCTACGAGTGGCAGCTCACGCGCGCCAAGCGGGGGGGCCGCCGAGCCGCCCGCCCGACCCACCCCCCCGCGCCCGCTCCGCGCCTCTACGGGGGGCGGCTCACGCGCGCCACGCGGGTGGCCCGCATGGCCGCCTCCACGATCACTCTGGCCGTGCCCGACCCCGACGGCCAGCGCATCGGCTCCGGCGCCGCCACCCTCCACGCCATTCACGCCCTCGCCAAGCATTACCGTACAGCAGCCCCACACTCCGAGGTAAGCATTGTTCTGAGCTTGGCATTGGCTGCATTAGTGATGTATGTGATCAAATTTATGAACTTTGTAAAATTGTGACGTGGGGAGCAAAATTCTGACTCTACAGACCAAAGAGTAGTTGCAAGTTGCAATTTTTAGTGTGGATTGTTCAGTTTTCACACAACAGCTTAAAAGGGTGCTTAAATCTATCAATTTTACAATAAATTGAAGAATAAAGTTGCCGACTTTACTATAATGTCATTAGTAAGTAGGAACTTTGAGTGCTGCCCATGTTTTTTTTATAATAGTTTCTGTGTGGTAATCTGTTTCATTTCAAACACTAACAGGTGGCAACTACAAGCAATGGTAGTTCTGGATTCTCTGAGTCTCATCAATGTCCAGAGGATGAAGTGGATGATGATGATCTCTCGCAAATGGTTAGCTTCATTGCCAAAAGGCATATATTATTGCTACATGCTGGAGGTGATTCTAAAAGGGTCCCCTGGGCAAACCCCATGGGGAAAGTTTTCCTGCCACTTCCGTATCTGGCAGCTGATGACCCTGATGGGCCAGTCCCGCTGCTTTTTGATCATATACTTGCAATTGCTTCTTGTGCAAGACAAGCTTTTAAAAATGAAGGTTATTTGTTTCGTCTACTGCATTTTAAGTGAAATTGAACATGAGTTAGATATATCAATGACACTCACATTGTGGCTTTTGGTAATGTTACTGAGTCATCTCTCACAGCTTCATATATCTTCGCGCTAATGATGTTTCTATCTTCTCAGGTGGAATATTTACTATGACTGGAGATGTGCTTCCATGTTTTGATGCCTCTAACATGGTGCTTCCAGAGGACACATCCTGTATCATCACTGTTCCCATCACTCTTGATATTGCGTCTAACCATGGTGTTGTTGTGGCATCTAAGAGTAGAAATGTAGAAAGAAGTTATACTGTCAGCTTAGTTGATAATCTCTTACAGAAACCTAGCTTAGAGGAACTTGTTAAGAACAATGCAATTCTCGATGATGGTAGAACACTTCTTGACACTGGAATAATAGCAGTTAGAGGTAAAGGGTGGGAGGAGCTTGCTGCACTTGCTTGTTCCTGCCAACCAATGATTTCAGAACTTTTAAAGAGCGGAAAAGAGGCAAGTTACTATTGCTAGAGGAGCTTTCTGTTCATGCCGTCCTGCTAATGTATAGTTTACAATAAAGTCAACTGGACTATTATTGCAGGCTTTGTTGTTATATAATGTGCATAGATTTCTTTTAGTGTGTGATTTCCTAGTATTTTTGGAGAGCTTTTAAAGCTTTAATAATATCCATATATTTTTTGCAGATGAGTTTATATGAAGATCTTGTAGCAGCTTGGGTACCTGCAAAACATGACTGGTTGCGGCTACGCCCCTCAGGCGAAGAACTCGTCAGTAGATTAGGAAAACAGAAGATGTTCAGCTATTGTGCTTGTATGTGTATCCTTGATGCCAGTATCCAAATCTTATTGTTTTCATCTATTTTCTATCTGATTTATTATTTTCTATATCATTTCTGCTTCTTGATTTCCCTGCAGATGATTTGTCATTCTTACATTTTGGAACCTCAAGTGAAGTTTTGGATCATCTAAGTGGAGCTAGTTCGGTACTGGTTGGTCGAAGACACCAGTGTTCTATACCAGCAACCAATCTATCTGATATTGCAGCATCTGCTGTTCTTCTTTCTAGCAAAATTGCACCTGCTGTCTCCATTGGGGAAGATTCTCTTATATATGATTCAACCATTTCCCGTGGAATACAAATTGGTTCCCTGTCTATAGTTGTTGGTATTAATGTTCCATCAGTGAATGGTACTGCTGCTGAAAATTCATTTAGGTTCATACTTCCGGATCGTCATTGTCTTTGGGAGGTTCCGCTAGTAGGACGCACCGGAAGAGTCATAGTGTATTGTGGCCTTCATGATAACCCCAAAAATTCAGTCTCTAAGGATGGAACTTTTTGTGGGAAGCCCTGGAGGAAGGTTTTGCATGATTTAGGAATTCAAGAAAATGATCTATGGAGCTCTACTGGTACTCATGAAAAGTGTTTATGGAATGCAAAAATATTCCCTATTCTTTCTTACTTTGAGATGCTAAATTTGGCATCATGGTTGATGGGCTTGAGTGATCAAAACTCGAAGCATTTTCTTTCATTGTGGAGAAGTTCTCCACGTGTCAGTTTGGAGGAGTTGCATAGATCAATTGATTTTTCAAAAATGTGTCAAGGTTCCGTTGATCATCAAGCAGACCTTGCAGCTGGAATTGCTAAAGCGTGCATTAAATATGGGATGCTTGGCTGCAACTTGTATCAATTGTGTGAAGAAATTCTGCAAAAGGAAGATTTAGGAGTCAAAATATGTGAGGACTTTCTAGGTCTTTGTCCCGGACTCTTGGAGCAGAACTCTAAGATTCTTCCCAAAAGCCGAGCTTACCAGCTTCAGGTTGACCTTCTTCGAGCATGCAGGAATGAAACAACAGCTTGTAAGTTGGATCACAAAGTTTGGGATGCAGTTGCTGATGAAACTGCTTCAGCTGTAAAATATGGTTTTAAAGGTAGAGTGAGTTATTCATATCTCAATAATAGCATGATTGTATAAAATTCGATGGGAAAGGACAAAAAAGATAAGATAAGATAAGCTTTCCCCATCCATACAACAATGACTTTGAATATTCATTCATTTTTGTCATCCTTTCTTTCTAAGTAATCTCTTCCTCATTTTTAAACGTAGATACTATTCTTTTGGCATCTCATGTTTGATGTTTAATAGTCCTTAATCTTTAAAGGACCAGAAATTTACAAAACACTTGTTTTAATCCATGGTCTGTAGAATATCTATTTGAGGCACCCAGCGATATCCCTACTCCAGTTTATAAGAACAATGATTTTGATGGCTCTGCGGATCATTCTTTCCACCCTAGAAGGGTGAAGGTTGAATTACCAGTTCGTGTGGATTTTGTTGGGGGTTGGAGTGACACGCCTCCATGGAGCTTGGAGCGTGCTGGTTCTGTTCTGAATATGGCAATAAGTTTGGAAGGTTCTCTTCCCATTGGAGCCATCATAGAGACGGCAGAAACAACTGGTGTCTTTATTAAAGATGATACTGGAAATGAGATACACATTGAAGACCTAACCTCAATTGCTACTCCATTTGATGGCAATGATCCCTTTCGGCTTGTCAAATCTGCACTGCTTGTGACTGGCATTATTCATGAAAGTGTTGTTGCATCCATGGGCTTGCAGATCAGGACATGGGCCCATGTTCCTCGTGGCAGTGGCTTGGGGACTTCTAGTATCTTAGCAGCTGCCGTTGTGAAGGGACTTCTCCAGATTACCGATGGAGATGAAAATAATGAAAATGTTGCAAGACTTGTTCTTGTATTAGAGCAGCTCATGGGAACAGGTGGTGGTTGGCAGGATCAGATTGGGGGTCTCTATCCTGGTATTAAATTTACTGCAAGTTTTCCTGGAATCCCATTGCGACTACAAGTCGTCCCACTTTTGGCTTCTCCTGAGTTAATTTCAGAGTTGCAGCAACGCTTGCTTGTGGTTTTTACTGGTCAAGTATGTGGCCCCTTTCCATTTCCACTGTAAATATGCATGATAAGGCTTTTCTCGCCTAAAATAAGTA